GTGACATAATCTTAATCTTGGTGTGTTCTTACTTTCCCTATGTTTTAGGAAAGTGAGGAGGAAGTCACTGACACTGAACAAGCTGAGAATTGGTTCTCCTTGACTTCTGCACAGCGCATTTGTGGTAGGTAATTCTGTTGGTTTTGTTTGTTTGTTTGGTGCCTATTTTTTATTTTTTATTTTTTTTTATTGCTTCTTACAGCTGCCTCAAATATTAATTTTGTTTTATACTTATATTTTTCTAATAATATTGTTTTCTAGAGTCTAATTTAATTCTTTGAGACTGATCTTTTCCATGCACCCTTTTGTTTGCTTTGCGTCCTATCAATTATGGTGCCATAAATAAAAAGTTATTACGTAGGTCAGTAAATTGTTTGTTGTGATAGTTTATAAATATGATATAGAAATATATGTGGAGCTCCAAGAATTTGTTTGTATTTAAATTACTGAAATAAAGAATGTTTAACTCTAAAGAACATTTGTCAGAAATTGCTTAACTCCAATGGTTTGAGCAAGAATTAGCAAATATAATCAGTTTCATTTTTGAAATGTAGCCTCCTGCTTTGATTTTTACTATTTAAGAATGAGGTCTTGCTTGACCCAACATATCGGCAGTTTATAATTGGCAGACTAAGCCTCTATTTTCTTATTTAACAATAATTCACATTATTTGCTTGATTGTCGAGGATAAGTGGCTTAGTTTTCCCTGTTGCTCAAAATATGAATTTGATTTATATATTTTGTAGCTGTGTACTGGTCTGCTAAACTTGTCTGTATGCTATATTGTTTTCATGTGTAAAGCAGTTACATTTTCCTTGCATGCTTTTTGTTATATATTTTGCATGTCTGACGACATGATTTATTTTGGATCTTCGAAGATATGTTTCTGGCACTTGACAAGGATATGAATGGAACCTTGAGCAAGCAAGAACTCCGAGAGTATGCTGATGGAACACTGACAGATATATTTATTGAGAGGGGTATGCCAATTTTTTCATTGAAATTTTAGTCACTACAGCAAATGTCATTATTTCGAAAACTTCTCCAGTCAATTGCATGCATTTCTACGTCTAAACTTTATAATGATTAATGACCCCAATGCATTAGCCAGATCTCTTATATTGGCAGATATGCTTTATGAATGTAGAAACATATTATTCTGCCGTACTTAATGATTCCCCTCTTTACTTTTTATTATGGGTATTAAGATAGTGTACATGAACTTTCCACTTTTTCAGTGTGAGGTACTCTCTTAGTCTTTTACGTTTATATTTTACCTATCTATATTGCGACTTTAATTCTAGATACTATTAATCATATACCCACTCACACTAGACAGCTGGGAAATTTCTAACCCTCTTGTTCAAGTGCTGACCTGGTCATTGCTGTAGTTTTTGATGAGCATGTACGCCGGGGGAAAAGTGGTGGAGGAAACAGTCGGGAAATGGATTTTGAAAGCTTCTTGGACTTCGTTCTTGCTCTTGAAAACAAAGATACTCCTGAAGGTTTGACATACTTGTTCAGGTGTCTTGATCTTAATGGAAGGGGTTACCTAACAACAGCTGATGTCCACACACTTTTCAGGTGCAACATTTTCTCTATTAATTGGATGTAATTCCTGCATTTTTGCAGTTTTCTTAAAAAATTGTCCTGAGCTGTGCTAACATCGTGAAACCAATTTCTGTGCAATAGTTGAGAATAAACATTATACACTTGCAATAAATGTTTTAAGTAGAGTGCTACTTCCAACTTTTGTCCTTTTCTTGATATTTCTTGTAGCTAAAAAAAGATGGATAATAGAGTTTTTACGAAGCAGAAGGGAAAATATGGACTAATCTTACTGTTCAGATGCTTGGACTAATCTAGGTTATTTGATAGCTCAATGGTGGTTTCTGTAAGACTTCTGTTCATGCTACCATATTTTACACTAAACCATGGAATTTTTTGGGATTGAGGCTGTGTTGTTGTCGTTATGCATAAATTATGGAAGAAAAGAAGGATGGCATCTGTAAGCTAGAGATGTTACTCGATACAATCTTCCTATAAAAAAATTCTGTGCTTTCCTTTTCACAGTTCTCTAATGTAGTCTGTGAATCTCAAACTGACAGAAACAGTACAATAGCATGATGTAATATTGCTTTACATAATTTACATTCTATGGTTTTGCTTTAAATATTCTATTTTGGCCTATTTAATCTCTAATGTCGCCTCTTTTTTTTTTTTTTCCTCTTTTATTTATCAGAGATGTACACCAGAAATGGATTGAGGGAGGAAATTATGAATTATGTATTGAAGATGTGAGAGATGAAATTTGGGATATGGTGAAGCCTATGGATTCTTTGATGATCACATTGCAGGATTTACTTGCGTGCAAGCAGGGTGGTACCGTGGCTAGCATGCTTATAGATGTCCGTGGTTTTTGGGCACATGACAATAGAGAAAATCTTCTTCAAGAAGAAGAGGAACCAGAGGAAGAGGCATGACTTTAGGGTGATTAATACGACCTTTACTATTGTATCTAAAAGGTCAATGTAATGTGTGTGTGTGTGTGTTTTTTTTTTTTTTTTAATGAATAGTAGAACTTGTATCAGTTGAGGACTTGAGGTAATATAGGTGTATGTATTATGAGGATCTGATTAACGAATTCGAGTGAAACTGAACGATGTAGCTATATGAAGTATGTAAATACATCATTGGATAACTGTATCAACCAGTTAACCAAATGCCTAACAATATTTTATCAGAAATCTTTTAAGTTTCTGAATCACAGGACAGAATCTACTTTCTCAATTTTTTTGTTTTTTTATTGCCACACTTTGACTTTTACACTATCCACAAACTACACTTTGACTAGAATATGTGATATATAACTTTTTATTATTATTTTTTTAAAATTTTTTTTAATTTTTTTTTAATAAAATAATTTTACAATGTTGCTAATTAAGGATAGCAATTGCTAAAATTGTGTGTGTTGGCAATCGTAATAAAAAATATATTATGAAAACGGAGGATATATATATATATATATATATATATATATATATATATATATATATATATATAATCAAGATCATGTGAGAACCAAGTTGAATAATAGGAACTAGGAACTCGTCTGAGCCGTCCATCGCACTTCATCTGACGGCCTATATTACGCGCGCCTCATTAAGGGTATTTTGGTAATTATTCTTGTTGTATGACCTTCGTTCTAACATTCTCTCTACGTTCTTAATTCCTCTCTCTACATCTGGGCGCCGAAGGCGATTACACTGTTCTTGGTTTTTGTTCTTCGATTTTATCGATTTTCTTTGATTTCGTAAATTCTTCGTTGTTCTTACGTGATTTTGTTTTTTTTTTTGTTGTGATTCGAACATTCTTGAGAGGTAATTATTAGATTTTTTATTATTATTTTTTTTAAAATTTTGTTTATGTTCTTTATTGATTCATATGTACTTACTACTTAGGGTTTTTGATTTGTTGTTTTTTTTTTTTCGATTTTGTTGTCGCTTTCTATTATAATTGAATTTTCTATAATTCAGTTAGTTTCTTCTAATTAGTCTCTGGTTGGTTTAATTAATTGCACACTAAGTGTTCGATGAAATGTCTAACTTAATGGAATGAATTTTATCCTATGTTACTAGCTAAGGTGTGATTAGCATTACAAATAATTTGAACAATTGTGATTAGCCTAGTTGGGTTTTAAGGGTTGGGGGTGTGCAAAGGTTGTAATGAGGTGAGGGTGAATCGGTTTATTTTGCTTGTGTGGGGAGCTGTTGTTGGATGGAAGTATTTTGGATTTTGCAAAAATTTTTGAACGTTTTTCCAATTTGAGCTCTAAACGTAAACTATTGACAAAAATGGTTGCGTGGCAAAACTATTTACCAAACTAAGCTTCCAGGGTAAATCGCTGTCTCGGACAGCGTTTTACCCCTGGTTTTTTTTTTTTTAAAAAAATTCAACTGGTAAACGCTGTCCGAGACATTGTTATTGAAATTGTTCATGACATTGTTGCTAATTATTAATGAAAATGTGGTACATTGTTGATAATTATTGATGGTGATGTGGTACATTGTTATTGAAATTGTTCATGACATTGGTGAAGTTGATGATGGTGAAAATGTTGAAGTTGTTAATGGTTGAAATTGGTGAGAAGAGATGAAATTGTTGAAATTATTGAAATAGTTTAGGTTGAAATTGTTGAAATAATTCAAATTGTTCATGAAATTGTTGAAATTGGTGAAGTTGTTGAAAGTGAAGTTGTTATAGGTGAGAAGAGTCTTATTTCAGTGTTGATAATTTACCTCGCTCTAGATTTCGATAATCCTAAAATGTGTTTTGGTTATGTAGAATATGGCGTCACAAAATGTAGTTTTGTTATGCCGGTGGGGAGGAGAAATTCTGTTTGATGGACCCCGGGTCGAGTATAGTGGGGGAAATATGGAACCACTAACACTAGAACCGAACATGACTATGAATGATTTGATGAATGAGGTTCATAGTAGTATTGGGGGAAATATCGTAGATGGAGGAATTATTTTGTAATAGAAAATTTTGATTTAATAACATTTGGAACATTTTGATTTAATAACATTTGGAACATTTGATCGTTAACATTTTGGTTAATTGCTAATGCGTTAACTCTGTTGGAATTTGTTAAATTGCATGTGAACAGATACGATGGACGGTGAAGATCGTACGCCTGGACCCGTTGACCCTTCTGTGCTTACACTACAGGGCACACACCGCAGCGTTGCCGTATGGGATCAGACGGTAATATTGCATTTGTTTGTTCATGGACTACAGCCCTAGACCGACTCACCGAGGACCAGGTAACAATTTAAAATACAGTTTTAGCTTTTTTGTTTTAACATTGTACTTGTTGCGAACTAACATATTCATAATATTACTGTTGATGTGTATTTACAGGTGACATGGGACCCGTATGTACCTGACTTGGTAGATGCCATGCCTCCACATCTGCTAGACCATCAGGCGGTGTGGCGTGCTAGGGTCCCCCTGATCTGTTTCGAGGTTGTGGAGAGTCACCTGCCCGACCGAGTCATGAGGCAGTTTGGACTACGCCAGACTATCCCACAGGGGTGTGACACTAGTGTACAGCTTCACGGCATTGATCGTCGGGGAAAGGGGGAGACCAGCTGGGCGCTGGAGCATTGGCGTTTCCTTCAGCTATGGGAGCAACGGTTGGAGTTCATCGTTGGAGGTGATCTAATGCAGGAGGCTATGGATCCCGACGATCCGTACATGGTGTGGTACAGGCGTATCACACGACGCTTCATCAACCCCAGCTACGCACCACCATCCACACATTACCATCCAGCATATGACATCATTAGCGGATATGTGAGTTATTATTTTTCTACTCCTTTTCAACAATTTCCATATTTGTATGCCATAGATCTGACTGATCGATGATTACTGCAGGCGGCGGATATGGTGGCGATGGTTGATGCGCTATCAGTCTCCCTTGAGTGCGGACCCACTAGAGCCCAGGTCGAGCAGGTGCGAGATATGGGCGTCGCTACCTTACGGAGATATGGTCACGCTCATCTCGCCCACCGGCGGGACGGTCATGATGGCAACTCACAGTTCGATCTCGGCCAGAGCAGCGGTGGATGTGATCCTACGTCACCCAGACACGCAGAGGATTACAACATCCACAGTACTGCGCCCTCTGGTACCCAGGAGGACCCCTCGTCCAGTCAGCTGACTCCCCCACCGCCCCGAGACCCATTCACCACCGTCACTCATTACAGGCGGCGACGTGTCATACGGAGGGCCGACACTCAGGAGGCAGGACCTTTACCCCGAATAAATGAGTCGGGCTAGTATTATCTGTTGTATTCCCTGTTATTTTGTGTAATGATGTACATAACACTTATGAAATTAATATAATAAATCTTTTTTGAATGACTCCGTGTGTGCTTTGAAGTTAATTTGGTGGTTGGACTGTTGTTGGGCTGTTTCGAGTTTTCTGCAGTGCTTAAAGTTGACGGAACTCCCAGAATATGGTGGTGGTACGTGGTGGGGAGTGGCGGAGTTGGTGGTCGACGGTGGTGGGGTAGGGCTGTGGAGCTGGCTGTTGTGGTGGCTGTTGGAGGACTGCAGCATGCAAGCTGTTTGCTGAAGCTTGTTTCTGCCTGGATGCTGGTTGCTGTTTCCAGCAGAAAAGCGCTGTCTGAGACAGCGCTTTATGTTCAAGCATAAAGCGCTGTCTGAGACAGCGTTTTATGTTCAAGCATAAACCGCTGTCTGAGACAGCGCTTTATGTTGAACATATAAAATAGTTGTAGTTGAATTTTTTTTTACAAAAAAACCAGGGGTAAAACGCTGTCCGAGACAGCGATTTACCCTGGAAGCTTAGTTTGGTAAATAGTTTTGCCACGCAACCATTTTTGTCATTAGTTTACGTTTAGAGCTCAAATTGGAAAAACGTCCAAAATTTTTATAGCCTTGAACATAGTGTGATTGGTCTGGCTATATGCATTCAAGGGAGCAAGAGTCTATGCCGCTATGTGTCATTGGTGGTTGTTGCTTGCGTGTGTATGAGGGAAGATAGGTGGTGTGCCAATATTGTGTTTGTCATTTTACCATTGCAGTACTACGCCTAAACTTGGCTAAAATGTTGTTCTTATCACACAAGTATGAGATATACTTTAGTAGCTGACTACATTTTCTAGACATCTTGCTTTATTATATACCTATAACACTTCTACACTGTTTGCTGCAATGGCATGGGTAGCATGGTCGTACCGAAATTCAGTGGTGTTTGGTAACCCTTGGCAGAGTAGAGAGGTGGGAGTGTTGGGTTTGTTCAGTTGGTTGAAGATTATAAAAAGTACTCTAAGGCTGTCTTTTCTTCTCCTTATAAGGCTGCAAATGTGCTTGACACTATAAGCAGTTGGGCGTCTCTGGGGTAATCAGAGTCAATGTTAAGGGATGACAGAGGGACAGTGCTGTCAAATTTCAAACCGAAACCATTTAACTACCCGAAACAAACCGACCTAAATGAGAACCGAACCGATAAAAAAAAGGAATTTGTAAAACCGAAAACCGACCTGAACCGTATTTAAGTAAAATCGAACCGATTCGAATAATGTCAAACCGTATAAGAACCGAACCCGTTAACAAACCGAACCAGTTTTAAACCAAACTGAAATCAAACCGAACCGTTTCTAACCCAAAACCGTTTCCAACCCGAAACCGTTTGAATCGAGGTAAAAACCGTTTACACTGAACCGTTAACAAACTGCAACCTGTTTGCACCGAACCGTTTATAAACCGAACTGTCTATAAATCAAACTGTAATTTCGATCTCACAATAACTCATCAAATCATGATTATGACACATCAATTAGATGATTGAATAAGAAGCAGCTAATAATGTGATGGTAAAACAATAATAATTCATTAATACACTAAACTTTTATAATCTACGTTACTTCGTAATAAACTAGTAACATTAGTATGACTAAACTTGAAAATAACATGATATGTATTTTTAAAATCGATGAGAATTTGTATATAATATAATGCCTAATGCCTAAATATGAAGTGATGACGTCTCGGCTTGATATAAAACTTATTAACCGGCAAAAGATTAGTTAGCAAGTACTATGAAATTTCAAACCAAAATTGTTGAACGCCCGAATCCAAACGACCCAATTAAAAACCGACTTTTTGAAATAAAAAACCGTTCTGAACCATAATTTAGTAAACGTGAAATGGAACTGATCCGAATAACGTTGAATCGTATAAAAGGAGAACCCGTTAACAAACCGAACCAAAATAAAACTGAACCGAAAAAGAACCGAACTGTTTCTAACTCACAACCGTTTCCAACCCGAAATTGTTTGAACCGGTATAAAACCGTTACATCGAACCGTTAACAAACCGCAACTCGGCTGTACCAAACCGTTTACTTCCCGAACCGTTTACAACCCGAATCGAATTAAAACCGCTCAAGAATAAACCGAAACCGAATCGAACCAATAACTATTTAAACCGAACTGAAACCGACCCACGATACATTCAAACCGAATTCAAACCGACCCGATTTAATACCGAACCGATTTCAAACCAAACCGAACCGAACCCGCTACAGAGGGTGATTGTTGCAGCTTGTGTCTGCAAGTTGCAGTTGATGATGTCACGTTGGCTGAAGCTTTAGTTGCTAGAATGGGCATGTTTTTTCGGTAAGACCATGCTACTTCTATCTTCCTACTTTCTATCTAAAGTTAGTTATTTTATTATTATTTTTTTATTTTTTCATGAATGAAGCTGTTAAGGGCTATTTTGTAGAATGTCTAATTAGTTAGTCACTAAAAACAACTAATAGGCTATAGCATTAAGTTACCATAGTCCGTGGATAGTTATATAGTTTCGCTAAACCTAATTCTTTGACTCTTTGCTTGCACTTTCTTACATACTTGCATAACAACACTCTTACCAATTCTTTATCTTCTCAGGTACAAACACTCGGTCTTAGTTGCTAGTGGCATTGGTATATCTCCCTTTGTTGCTGTCCTAAGTGATGTCATGCACCCGTCTCAAAGAAGGAAAACCTTGCATGCCTAAAAACATCTTAATTGCTTGGGCTATCAAAAACTCAGATGAGCTGCCACTTCTGTCAGTGATAAATATGGAGTCCATATACCCCATTTTCTGCGATGCTAAAATCTCGACATTCAAATTTATGTCACTCAATAATCAGAACCTAAACTGGTCAGTTACCCTTCTGTTGTTATCTTTATCCCTATATATTGTGTTCTGTTTTGCACTTCTCATGTGCATTTTTCTGTATATATTCGTAACAGGTTGAGGGGAAAGCACTTGGACAACTAAGAATGATCCAACCCCTTGCAATTGTACTGCAATTTATAAATATATTTTTTTTACTTTTAAGATTTTTTTTATTTACTTTTAAGTAATTCTTCTTTCCCACCTCTATTCATTGAATTGATCTTTCTTGTTAAACTGCTAATAGTCAGTTAGTATTTAGTTATGTTTTTCTTACTTTTTTCTATCATATTTACTAATATTCATACAGCTTATTGCTCATCCATCAACTACAGCGATGCCTTTGCGAGTCCAATATGATGTGACAGATTCAAATTCAATTCATAAAAGGTGGTCAATATCCTACCTACGGAAACCAGGCCAGCTTCTCCCCCTAATAAAGTTACCAACTCTAAGGTCTAGAAAAATTAAAACAAGGGAACAAACTGGTTACAGATGGGGAAACAGGTAGGCCTAAGCATAGTGTCAGCAAGGTTCCTTCCTTTGTGATAATGTGAGACCGTAACCCACCTCTTAAGTAGAGAAACCATGACGAAATATGAAAAAAAATAAATTATAAGCATACTTTTGAGAACTTTTTATTTACTTTTGAGTCATTATGTTTTACTTTGTATGTTGAATATACACTAGCCTACTAGCTTAATAGGTGGAGGATTGTATAAATGCACAAAAGATGTAGGTTCCTTCTACTTTTTTATTCATTCTACTTCTGAGATTTTTTAATTTACTTTTATAATGCTTCGATTTATTTTAAAGTCTTTTTTATTTACTTTTATAATGCTTTAATGTACACTAGCATACTAGCTCAATAGGTAGAGCATTGTGCAAGTGCACAAAAGATGTGGGTTTGAATCGCACGTAGGTTCTACTTATACTTCGAACAATTGGATTATATATAATATTTTTTATATTTAATTTTGAGTTTTTCTAATTTACTTTTGAGTAAATATTATTTACTTTTGAGTAAATGTTATTTACTTTAATGTTGATATTATTCACTTGTATTTACTTTTTTGATATTTTGATTTACTTTTAGCATTTTGTATTTACTTTTGATTAATTATGATTTACTTTTTACATATGTTGCTCTACATTTGATTTCTGTTCATAGTTATTTTGACTTGCTTTACAAAAATATTAATGTATTGTTTTAGATTTTCTATTTACTTTTGAGATTTTTTTTAACTTTATCTTATTGATCTATCAAACTGAGTGACAGGAATGAGAGCAGGTGTGTCCAATATAGGATCGAGTTAACCTCAAGTTACAAAGATAATAAAAAACCTCTTTTGTTTGTATACATTAGAGCTAATTTGATTTAATTTTGAGATGTTTTGAATACTTTAGAGTGTCTAATATTTACTTTTAGAGATAACCTATGTAGGAATCGAACCTATACCTCTATGCATCCGCATAGAGCTCTACTACTTGAGTTAATAGGTTTTGGAGCAAAAGATTCATAGCTTTTTAGAAAAGACTCCACATTTTTGTAGTTCCTTTAGTCAACAAAGTGGTAAATCTTTTTGTTCGCTGCCTTGTTTTTGTATAAATGACAATAAAAGCAATCAAAACCATAGCCCCTAATGATGAACCAAACACAACTATAGAATAACTACAAGTTATATTTCTAGTAAGCAATAATATAAAATCTATAATCCACAATAAGAAAAAGAACATTTTCTTTCAACCCAACAACTAACATTTGCATCAGAGCACACTATACAAATAATGATATCTTTTACTTTTGAAGGAAAATGGAAGTCATGATAAGTATTACATTATATAAGCTGCTGTATCAACTATCAAGTAATTTGAAGAATATAGAAGCAACCTTAGTAAAGGTATTTTACTATAAACGCAATCGGAAGAAAATAAATTACCTATGAGCCGAAGCCTCTTTTCTACAAGAAAATACCATATCGCCAGTGATTCAGTGTTTGCAAGAAAAGAAAGCAAAAAAAAGTTGGTGAGTGCAACAAAGGAATTTTTTTACAAAGGTACTTCATGGCCACATGCATTATTAACTTTTTATTTACTATGAACAAGCAGAGCACTTTGGGAAGATTGTATAGGCTGAACACATTGAAGAGGTTCAGTTTTATTAGGACAGAAACAATTGAACTGATAATTAGGCTCATCATACCCACACTGCCCACCATATTCTAAGCAGGTAGTACAAATATAAGCTTTCAAGTGCAACAAAACTCCCCTTTGAAGCATATCCACAACTTTTCCTTTAGTCAGACCCTCATCAGTGTAAGGCACTTCAATAACAACTCCATTACACGTACTTTTACTCCAAATCCTGCAATTTTGAGTCATTCTTATACACTGCCAAACTCCCATATTTCAATTTTTTTTATCAACGTATTCTTTCAAAACCTTCTTACGACAATCAGTAACACATATCCATAACCATGATTCATCGAGAACTT